TTTAAGCTTATTCTAAAAACTGAACATTCGAAAGTAATAACATAACATGCGAATGTGTTATTGGTGCAAATATACGATTTTACAGATGCTTGGTGTGTTAACCTGCACTGCCAGGGCTGTTCTGTCCACGTAGACCTCAGGATAAAGAGTCCTTGTCACATCTGGGTAACCAAAGAATATCTGGGATTGGGAGGAGGGCTTGTTTAAAACAAAACTGATGCTGTTAGCAAATTCTTAGCTGGATTAAATCAAGATTTCTCTATTCTATGCAAGCAAAGCAAAATACAGAAATAAACTGGATGCTGGGGTTGATGCATATCAACTGCCATCCATAACCTTGGCTTTGAAATGCTTTCTATTTAACTGAAACAGTTTCAGTGTTCTCACTGATTTGCTTTGAAAGATACTTGAACTCACAAAATATATTAATAAAATACTTTTATCTATTCGTAGAGTGAGGGTCCCATGTAAAGTTGGGTCTCATAAATTTGAAAGCCACTTGTGAAGTGCAAAGAGCATGGATGACACCAATCCTGGCTCTGCTACTCACGAGCCATATAGCCTTGGGCACATCATTTGCCCCCCAGGCTTCCAGGTCCACATCCATAAAATCATACCCACTTAACAGGGGTTTTGATCCAATGAGGTCTCTTAACTATCCAGGAGGCAGTAAATACTCAGTTCCCTCCCCACCCAATAGCATGGAATGGCCTGGATCTCTCAGGCCCGCTCACAACCAGGTATTATTTGCATGCCAGACAGTAGCTGGGCTGCAACTATGGCCCAGGGCTTAATCCACCGGGACCATAAGGCCCATTAGCGCCCTTCTCTGACAACTGAGCAAGCCAGCCAGCCGAGGGGCCAACACTTGGGATCCGCTGAGAGCAGTGCCAGGGTTGCAGCAGGGAGTGGGTATGAGGTTGGGGGAGGGGGGTGTCTCTGTGTGTGCACTCATGTTTTCTTTACACAACATTGGCCGTTTTTCCGTTTGCCTGCTAAAGCGCTTCCGCGGCTGCCCCAGGCAGCCCAATCGCAGGACTTTAGTCTGTGAAGAATTCCGTGGAATGCAGTCTCTTTGGCAGGTGGTGCGCTTCCCCTCTGCTTGAGAAGGGCCTTCCTTTTCCATCAGCACAAAGCAACCAAGCGGAAGAAGCTGGAGTTTCTCTCCACCATTTCACCTGGTGCCCCTGAAAGTCGCAGCCTCCTTGGTAAATACTTTTCACGGCCCCAGAAGTAAAGGGAAGTTTTGTTGAGAAGCTGTTCTTAATTTCTCACGTGTTGAAGAATTACCCCAAACAGGAGGAGGCACCAGCGATTATGCAAATTCTATTCGATTGCTGAGCAGAGGCTACCAGAGCTCTCAGATTAAGTGATAAACATTCTTAGGGGACAAAGAATTTACACAGCTTTTCCTCTGTATCACACTCTTATCGCCCAGCGTTCTCTGTATCAATATCCCCAAAGGGGATTGGAAGAGCCAGGCAGGTACTTTTTAGCTGATTACAGGGATTCCGCTGGCCTTGGGAAACATCTTTGAAAGGCAACTGTGAAGTAATCCGAATAGCTGGTGAACTTCTGGCTTCCCTGTTAGGTCTGCCTGTCCCAAGATAATCTCGCTTAGCATTTTCTGGGCACTGAAGGTCAAAAAAAAAAAGACTGCAGGCAAGAATTTTGTCCCTGCCGGGACTGGCCAGTTGAAATTGGTTCTGTGGACACCAGACACCATTTCTAAAGACATGTTTTTTGGAAAGCAGCCTTTGGCAATCCTTCTAATTTGCATTCAGAGGAAATGTGCCACATTTTCCGTAACAGGCAGTCCAGCCAACACCACCGGGGAGGGAGGAAGCTCTTTTCTCAGTGTCTGCAGGTTTATCCCTAAATGCTATGGAAATAGCAGCTGCCAGGGCAAGGGGAACAGAGGATGGAGAGTCTTTTAAAACGCCTGAGTAAGCTGGATATCCCAGGCAGCAGACCTAAAAAGGCAAAGGCTCCATATTCCGGTGCTTGCTTCAGATGCGGCCTGCACCCAGCAGCAGGCTGTGTCGTCACATGGCCATCCTGTCCAAGTGAGCCCAGGGACAGAGCAAGCGCTGTGGCCACCCACTTGGGGCTCAGGCCTGGCGAGTGATAAGGAGCAGGTCACATTTCACACGGACTCGTGGCTGACAGAGCGTGCGCACAGCTGGCTCTTGTGTGACCTTCACCGCCCTGGTAATTAAACGCACCCCCCGCCCCCTTTCATGGATTCTGAAAACTGCTTTTGTTTCAAACGGACACATTCTTTATATCCCGCTACTTACCTGGTTACGTATGTGAGAAGGAAGAGAACCTGGCGGGTCAATCATCTGGCAGCGTTCTTCTGGGTGGGGTATACGGAAATATTTCCTTTCTCATCAGATGGATTTCTGGCTACCCTATTGAAGTGGTGAGCTGGTGAAAATAAAGAATGGAAACTAGGGAATGATCTTGAAGCCAACCTAATGGAAGTGCTGCCGCAGATTTTCCAGGGCTTGAGGGGAACATCAGACTTCCCCAGAGGTTCAAAATGCCCACCCAGCTATTAAGGACACAGGATTGACTTACTGTGCACAGGACAGAAGGCCTCTGGCAGTCACACGGAGAAGCAGGCTGTGATTGGAGCCGGGAGGTGGAGAAGGGAAAGTCAACGGGGCAGAAATTCGGAGCACAGGGAGGATTCCAAATCAGAAGCAGAACGCTTTATACCTATTTACAGAGGGTTTCCACCACCGCTGGACATGCCGGGACCTCGCTGAGAAACACCACATTCTGGTTTCGTTCTGTCAGGGAATGGGCGCATCTTCACCAGGCAGAAGGGCAGATGCCGAGAGGGGAGCCCGGGCTTCACAGGCTCACTAATTCTTTCCCATAGCCTGTTCTGTTTTCTGTCAACAGTGAGGAAATACATCCTAGCAAATGACATCCAGTAATGCTTTAATTAACTGTAGTATTTTATGCTGCGATATGCGCAGTGAAATCACTTCCAGATGGGGGAAAAATGAATGATATTTACACAAAAAAGCAATCCCTTTATTTTCAGGAATCGGTATCTCCCAAAGGTATAGAACCTTGAGGGTCCAGGGGGCTTATCTATTTTGATAAACACTAGAAAGAGACTGGAAGAGTTTCTTTACTGTGTAAAATGTAACAGTACTCTTTCTGCACGCCAGCTTTTCATGTGTCCGTGTTTCCAAGGCTATTGTTTAAATGGCCCAACACAGTTCTAAGGATTTCATTTTTAGCAATCTGACTTGGAGGAGACAAGAAGTGTGAAACACTTGCTTTCACGCTCAAGCAAGTTGGTTATTTTGGAGATTTCTCTTCCTAGAGAGAGGAATTACATTTCCAGCTGTGAACTTGTGGCATTTTCCCTAGCGTTCTGTAAACGGGGGACCAGGGCTCCCTGTCCAATGGCAATTCAGGATGGGCTGGTGTCGCATCCCCTTCATCCCCTGCTCACTCGCCCTGCCTGCCCGTCACTCTTACATTGGTCCCTGGACGGCTGCTTTCGGTCCTGTTCCACCTGCACCGAGGAGCTGCCCGAGGCATGAGAAAGTCGGTGCCCTTTCCTGGGAAAGCCCCAGGTACTGGGTCTTTGTTCTTCAAGAGAGGGAGGCGTGGCAACAGTTAGCTTCAATTTCAGAACTGAATTTGGAGGTCAAAACACCTCGTCCATGGTGGTTCCCGTTTCCCTGTTATGATCCAAACAGAACTTTCTCCAGCCTGGGCACCTCTAATGAGCAATCAGGAAGTCTGTCCAGAGTAAAAACAGCAGTGAACTCTTTATCAATTATAAATTACGAATATTTATTTTAACCACATAAGGTGACTTTAAGTTTTTTTTTTTTAAGGGGCTAGAGAAAGCGGAGGGAAGGAACCAGTACAGTATTTATATAATTTAGCTGAATAACAGAGTTGTTAGCTACTGTTTTTATGAATGAGTGCTCCTTTATATATATTATTTCAAAGTGACAGTAATAAATAAACCTTCTGTTTGGGGCTTGACCATCACAAGAAGAAGAATCCTAGTCAGTATGGGGACAGCATGATTCCTGCCATGGTCCCTACCACCAACACAAATTCAAAACTTAAGCTGCTGGCTATCAGCAAAAAGAAAAATCTTTACCATTTGGGTACCAGCTCAATTATACAGTAATTACACTTGCTTAGAGTCAGAAAGAATATACATTTATGAAAATGTGCAATAGGAACCCTTCAATAAAGCAAATTTCTGTTACAATGGTTCTTCACAAGAAGTAAGCATTATAATCACCTACGGAACTTTTAAACCTAGATGCTGGGCCCCACTCCAGACTTAACTGATTCACAATCTCCATACATCTGTACTTGTTAAAAAAAAAAAAAAAGAGCCCCAGGTGATTCTGATGCAGACCCCCCCCAGATGAGAAACATGCTCTGTACAGGACGCACACAGGGCATGCAGCGCCCATCAACAAGACACTTAACGTAACTCCTACTGACTTCTGCTGGCTCCTTGGAGCTTACTGACAGTGTAATAAATCAAGAAAGCAACTTCCCTGGCTGTGACCACCACCCGGGGTGCAAAGCAGCAGCTTGACATCTCAGTGCCATTATGGAGACTTCCAGAAAATGACTCCTCATGATGAAACGCAAAGAGAAGTGTGGATCTGTAAACACTGAGAGTGACAAGGACCAGGTGTGGGAGTCCACTGGGTTTCCAGCTCCCAGGCCGAGGACAGATGGCTGAAGTGGCTGTTTGGAGATGGGCCCATCCTCCCTTCTTTCAAGAGCGGGAAGAGAATGTTAACCTCAATTAGCTCGGGCTAAATAACTTTACCAGAGCCACACCATGGCTATCTGGGCAGAGTGAAATCTATCGACTGAGCTGCCCACGTGCCCCCCCAGCCCCTTCCCTGCCCTTCCAGTGCTTTTCTTATTTAGCCAGCTTTCCCTACTAGGGCTTACTGAGCTGCCCACGTGCCCCCCCAGCCCCTTCCCTGCCCTTCCAGTGCCTTTCTTATTTAGCCAGCCTTCCCTACTAGGGCTTAGCTAAAGGCCACACCTCTTTCTTCTGTCACACCTGTAATCTTCCACTTGGGCCCTAGAGCCAAGCCCAGACGACATCTCTTAAGGGTCCGGCCGCAGAGGGAACCTCACACAGCTGCATGTGGAGGAAGGGGTGAGTTCCAGGCTTTCTCACCCACGGTGCTGGGACAGAAGCATGGAAAGGAACAGGACCACATGCCAGAGGGTGTGACTGCGGGGGTGAGGCTACAGAGTCAGCGACAACTGGACCAGTCGGGGGCAGCCCGGGACCAGCAAGTGAAGCCCACGGAACCTTCACCCCCAGCTGCCTCTGCTGCAGGAATCAGGGACCATCTCGACTGCCTTTTTATAATCTGGCTGTTACCCGTCTTCTCCGATTCGGACAGGAATTAAGACAGGACGTGGGAGAAACATGTGAATGACCCAAATGCCCCAGGAAGTTTCAAGACTGATGATCTGAGAGTCGGGGAAGCACAGGAGAGGTGGGGGGCTTCCGGGCATCTGGGTGCTGGTGGGGGCAGGTGTCACTGGCTGGGGGAAAAGTGCCCCTCGGACGCTCCTACAGTCTCTTTTTAATTAGTTTCTCCAGTTTGCGGATGCGAGATGACTCCTGTTCTGGAGTTGGAGCCAGGAGGGACAGAGAGCTGGAGCCTTCGGGCCCTGAGGGCGGGGCGGGGAGCCTCTGGCGGAAGAGATCCAGCATGCTGCTCTGCTCGCTCCTTTTCAGCCCCTGAGGTGGAGAGAGAAAGGAGGGTGACGTCAGCTCTGGCCCGAAGGGCCCAAGGGCAAGCTCAGTAACTGGCATTCACTGGGCTGAGGATTAAGGCTTTCTTCAGGGAGATACCAGCCCTGGGTAGCAGCCTGGGAGAGAATCAGAGGAAGAGGCAATAGGAGAGGAGGGAGAAGGGGCTGAGAGGGCGGAGGACAGGCAGCAGGATGCGCGAGCGTAGCCTCCTCCCCACCGCAGTCCTGCTGAGCCTGGCCCTCTGCTGGGCGCCAGGATGCCATCAGAACAGGGACATTCACAGGCCCCGGTTCCTCCTCCTCCTTGAGAGGCTTCTGAGAGCTGGGTGTGCAGCCTGGGCCAGGCACGGGCACTGTGAGATAGCTTCGGGGGGCCCATATCCCATCCCCCAGTTAACCACCGAGCGTGAGAAGGTGCCCGGGGACAAAACAAAACGCAGAGCTAACCTTCATGTCCAGGATCTTCTGGAAGGTTTCTGTGTTGCAGTCCGTCAGGAGTTTGATGTAGTTGTCCACAAACACCACCAACGGCTCATGAGGGGCCATCACGACCTACCAAGGGAGAGAGACGAGAGTAGGCCTGCCGGGAACACTCATGATCGGAGGCCGAGGATTATCTTTCCTCACTTGCAGGCCGATCACAAAACGGACTCTGCACGATCTCCTTAGGTGGCAGCAGCAGCTGCAAACCCAGAAATGTCCTGACAGCCTGTTTCATCTCAACATTCAGTTAGAGCAATGCTTCCTAAATTTCCTAAATCATAAATGTAACCTGGATTGCTTCTTAAGTACAGCTTCCTATGTCCCTCCTCTGAAGGTTCTAATTCAGAGGGCCTGGGGGGAGTCCCAGGTGACTTTTTAAATATCAGGACCACGGGAAACACTCTGCTGCAGGGTCCCCTGTCTGAGACATTTCGTAGGTTCGTGGTACCTGCTCCTTCTGTCCTCATGTATCACTGTTCCCGAAGGATGGCCTCAAAAGGCACTGAATTAAGTGCATTTTCTCAAAAACAAAAACCCTAGAACAGCCTCACTCTTTGCAAGACTTCAAATCTGGAACTTCATTTAACTACATCCAATTCATGTACCAACAGCAGGAAAGCAATGGCATTGCAACCCTCACATTCACTGCCATTTGGTTTTCAGTGTGGCATCTGATTTCCTTCCTTCAGCAGACTGTTTGTTTTTTTTTTCTCCAGAGGCAACCATCGCTTCAATTTTCTTTTTTTTTTAATTTTTAAAAATTATTTAATTAATTAATTTATTTGGCTGCGTCGGGTCTTAGTCACGGCACGCAGGATCTTTCGTTGCGACGCACGGGCTTCTCTCTAGTTGTGGCGCACGGGCTCCAGAGCAAGCAGACTCAGTAGCTGCGGCGCGCGGGCCAGCAGACTGGTTTTGTTTTGAATTTCTGAGAATATGACTCAGACTGGCAAGGAGTATTCACTCAGAAATTCTCTCTAAACCCTGCTCTCCACCCTGGTGAGTAAACCAGCTAGGGAAGAAATGGATTAGCCTGCTTCCAGTTTCCTCAGGCCAAAGCCTGAGGTCTATGTGGGCCCCTCACCTGGTCCCACCCATGTCAGGGCCTGCTGCTACTTTTCACTCCTCCATCATTTGAGTCATTCTGTTTGGAGACAGACCTGAAGGGCCTGCAGGCCCTGGCCTTCTAAGAGTATCCCCTGACAGTTCCGTTTTTTCTCCAGCCTTCTCTCCCCTCCCCAATAGGCCCCCTTTCCCCTTGACACATCCAGACGGGAATCATATGCAGGAGCTCAAGGCTTCAGACATTCTCAGCATCATCACCCCATGTATATTTTATTAAATGGGGCTTTAGAAAACCCATTTGCTGATTAGAATCAGTTATGCAACATCTGTTCAGAGTTCCTATATAGTGGCAGAGTTCAGAGTGCCAAAGAGGCTTACGTGGACCTGAGTAACTGATAGCTGGGCCAGAAATTCCTGCTAAGAAGCAGAGAGATCCCTGACTTAGACGCTGATTCACAATGACAACGCCACCCAACCTCCAATCTTGGTCAAATCTTATTACAAGAGAATCCCACTATGATGAAGAATTCATTTGTCAGATAGAATTACTGACCCCCCAGTAACAGTGCACTGACTTTCAACAATATCAGATGAGGCCAAAGTCTCGTTCAGCCAAAGAATGTGGACCATCTTTTAGGACTGATGGGCATAGGTCCTAACCTGTGCTTTCAAAGACTAGTACTCAGTACTCCTTGGAATAAACAATCAGATAACCAGGCCCTTTTAACCGAAACCCCGAGGAAGACACCAGCCCCACCTTGAGGATCATCTCCGCTCGGGTCATGCCTTTCACTACGATCTTTGTGTAACTGGCTGGGGCTTTCCTCACCACCTGAGAGCCGATGGAAGGCAGATCGAGCAGGACCATCTTCAGGGAGTGGGTGTCCAGCAGCAGCTGAGGGAAGAGAGCAGAAGAGAACCAGCCACTTCACAGGAACACGAAACCTGGTGTACGCACACTGATAAATAACATTTTCCTGAGTTTAAATGTAATACGTTCTCATGAACGAATGAACAAACATAAAAGGTAAAACATGAGTTATAATTACCATGACCCAGGAAAAAATAATAAGATGTCACAGTTCAGTGTGGTATCATTCCCACCAGCTTGTGTGTGTGTATAACAAGCTAGAGTTATACTGTATAGACAGTTTTACAACCTGGTTTTTCCACTTAATACATGAAGCTTTTTGAATTCTATTTTCCCATCTTGGCAGTCTTTAAAAAAAAAATCATGATTTTTAATGGCTATACAGTACTCTATGGTGTGTGTGTGTGTGTGTGTGTGTGTGTGTGTGTGTGTGTGTGTGTGTGTGTGTGTAACTTTAGTATTTTTAACCATTCCCCTATACTTTGTTTCTAGATTTTTATTATTATAAATAATGAATACTGTAATGAACAGCTGTGTAGATATAATTCTAGGTCTATCAGTGGCATTTCCTTAGGAGACAGTCTTTGGGACAGATCAAAGGATAAGGACATTTGGAAGGTTCCTCTTACATATCCTGAACTGCTTTCTGAATGGAATGTACCTATTTACATAGTGCAGACTGCACCCACATCAGCACTGGAAACTGCCATAAAAATTTTGCTTATCCAACAGGCAAAAAATGGTAATTCCGCACTGCTCTATCTTGGATTTCTCTGGATACTAGTGAGGATGTAGGAGATTAAATCAAATTTAAACATCAGTATCTTGGCAACAAACTGTCTTTTTCTTTCTTTTTTTTTGGTTCTCTTGGATGCCAATTATTTGGAAGGCTATCAGCTTTCCTGATTGCCCACCAACTGCAGGCACAGAAACGGCAGATACACACTGGCCTGTTGGGACCGTGTAGGAGAATGGAATCACATGCCCACCAACCAGACAAAGGCGGCGGCAGCAGGGTGACAGTCTCAATACTTCAGCTCTGATGGTCAATCTCATGTTCAGGACAGGGCTTGCTGTATCTACCACTGCCTGCTCCTCTCAGAAAGCTTTTCATAATTATATCAAGCAGGCGTGGAATGGTATCCCTTCAGGCCCTATGACACCCTGAATTCTCTCATTCTCCCTGTACTTTGCTATGGACAGGAGAATTAACGACTAAAGATAAGACAAACTCATTAATGAGAAACACTATTAACTTAATGGACATGGTGATTACGATTTTGACAACGGTACAAAAATTTGGAGAAGCCATCCGGGTTTTACTTGGGATAACACAGAGGGAAATATTGCTCTCCAAAAATGGTGAGGTTTTGAAACAGACTGATTCTGAAGTTTATATGGAGAGGCAAAAGACCCAGCATAGCGAACGCAATATCAAAGGAGAAGAACAAAGCTGGAGGACTGACCCTACCCGACTTCCAGACTCACAATAAAGCTACAGTAGGGGCTTCCCTGGGGGTCCAGTGGTTAAGACTCCGCACTCCCAGTGCAGGGGACCTGGGTTCGATCCCTGGTCAGGGAACCAGATCCCGCATGCCACAGCTAAGAGCCCGCATGCCACAACTAAAAGATCCCACATGCCACAACTAAAGATCCTGCATGCTGCAATGAAGATCCTGCACATGGCAACGAAGATCCTGTGTGCCACAACTAAGACCAAGTGCAGCCAAATAAATAAATAAATATAAAATAAAATAAAGCTATACTAATCAAGACAGTTTAGTACTGGTGAAAGAATAGACAAATAGATCAACTGAGAAGAAAAAGCCCAGAAATAAATCCACACAAATATAGTCAACTGGTCATTCACAAAGGAGCAAAGGCAATTCAATGGAACAAAGACAGTCTTTCCAACAAATGGTGCTGGAACAGCTGGACATCTATGTTCAAAAAATAAAAATAAAAGGGAATCTAGACACAGACCTGACACCCTTCACAAAAACTAAATCAAAATGGATTACAGACCTAAATGTAAAACACAAAACTATAAAACTCCTTGAAGATAACATAGGAGAAAACCTAGATGACCTTGGGTATGGTGACGACTTTTTAGATATAACACCAAAGATGTGATCTGTGAAAGAAATAATTGATAAACTGGACTTCATTAAAATGAAAAACTTTTGCTATCCAAAAGACAATGTCAAGGGAATGAGAAGACAAGGCACAGACTGGGAGAAAATATTTGCAAAAGATATTCCTTATAAAGGACTGTTATCTAAAATATACAAAGCTTTTAAAGAAAAACTCAACAATAAGAAAACAAACAACCCAACTAAAAAATGGGCCCAAGAGCTTAACAGATACCTCACCAAAGAAGATATATAGATGAAAAATAAGCATTTGAAAAGATGCTCCATATCATTTGTCATCAGGGAAATGCAAATTAAAACAGCAACGAGATACCACTATACATCGATCAGAATGGCTAAAATCTGGAACACTGACAACACCAAATGCTGGTGAGGATGTAGAGCAACAGAACTCTCATTAGTTGCTGGTGGAAATGCAAAATGTTACAGCCACTTTGGAAGACAGTTTGGTGGCTTCTTATATTAAAACTAAACATACTCTAACCATACAATCTAGCAATCATGCTACTCGTTATTTGTCTAGAATTGAAAACTTATGTTCACACAAAAACCTGTACATGGATGTTTTTAACAGCTTTATTCATAATTGCCAAAACTTGGAAGCAAACAAGATAACCTTCAGTAGCTGAATGGAGAAACTGTGGCACACCCAGACAATGGATTATTACTTAGTGCTAAAAAGAAATGAGCTATCAAGATATGAAGGAACCTTAGGGACAACTAAGCCCGTGAGCCACAACTACTGAGCCTGTGCTCCAGAGCCCACCAGCCACAACCACTGAGCCTGCGCCATAACTACTGAAGCCCACGCGCCTAAAGCCCGTGCTCTGCAACAAGAGAAGCCACCACGAGAAGCCCACGCACTACAATGAAGAGTAGCCCCCACTCGCCGCAACTAGAGAAAGCCAGCGCGCAGCAACAAAGACCCAACGCAGCCACAAAAAAAAAAGATATGAAGGAAACTTAAATGCACATGACTAAGTGAAAAGGCCAATCTGAAAAGGCTACATATTGTGCATGACCCATTACACAGCACTCATATCCTTTAGAGAAATTCTTGCCTATGTAAAAAAACAAACAAACAAAAAACGGTCCCCTGCATTTACTGTTTGTAAAAGCAGAAGACTGGAAACAACCTAAATGCTCATCAACGGTAGAATGGATAAACAAATGGTGGCATATTCATGCAATGGAATATGATATTTTAGTTAAAATGAGTGAACTCAAACAACCTATAACAACATAGATAAATCTCAGAAAACATTATGTTGGGCAAAAAAAGCAAGTGGGGGGCTTCCTGGTGGCGCAGTGGTTGAGAATCTGCCTGCCAATGCAGGGGACACAGGTTCGAGCCCTGGTCTGGGAAGATCCGAAATGCCACGGAGCAACTAGGCCTGTGAGCCACAATTACTGAGCCTGCGCACCTGGAGCTTGTGGTCCACAACAAGAGAGGCCGCGATAGTGAGAGGCCCGCGCACCATGGTGAAGAGTGGCCCCCGCTCGCCGCAACTAGAGAAAGCCCTCGCACAGAAACGAAGACCCAACACAGCCAAAAATAAGTAAATAAATAAATGAGAATAATGATAGCAACTTTGCAACATTAAAAAAAAAAAAAAAAAAAAAAAAAAAAAAAGCAAGTGGGGAATGATATGTATAGTACCATTTGTATAAAGTTTAAAAATATGCAAAGCAAAATTATATATCTTTTGTGAGTAGATCCACATGTAACATATCAAAACATATACGGGAATGATCAAAATCAAAATCAGAATAGTGATTACCTCTGGGCATGTAGGGAGGTGAGAGGAAGGGCAGGGTCCAGGGGGGACTTCAGCCATAACTGTAATGATTTACTTTATATAAAAAAGATCTAGGGCTTCCCTGGTGGCGCAGTGGTTGAGGGTCCGCCTGCCGATGCAGGGGACACGGGTTCGTGCCCCGGTCCGGGAAGATTCCACATGCCGGGAAGATCCCGCATGCCGGGAAGATCCCACATGCTGCGGAGCGGCTAGGCCCGTGAGCCATGGCCGCTGAGCCTGCGCGTCCGGAGCCTGTGCTCCACAACGGGAGAGGCCACAACAGTGCGAGGCCTGCGTACCGCAAACAAAATAATAATTAAAAAAAAAAAAAAAAAAAAGATCTAAAGCAAATGTGGGAACATGTTAAGATCTGACTAGGCTGAGTGGGAAGCTGATATTCTTGACAGTATTTTCTGTACTTTTATTAACTGAAACTATGTCTTTTTCTTCTTCTTTTTCCCCACACTATGTTATTTGAGGCCTAGTGAGGATTCAACTTTATCTTCCATAGAGCAAAATTTCAGAGGCTTGTCAAAATCAAAGGCATGTCTTGGCATTATTTGCTAGCAGGAAAAAAAGAGATCAATGATCATTTAAAAACTTATGGGGATACTTCCTGTTTTTTTCTGTACTTTCTATTTCCCAGAGATATATTATATGCATACATAATTGTACAGTCTTAAGTGACAGGAAGAGCTTTGAATGAGCCAGACATAACTCTCTAGCGTCTCCCATATTTTGAGAGATAGGACTTTTTCAATTCCCGGCCAGTCACAATAAAATTTTGTCCTTACCAGACAGCTGTACAGATGGAAACCTTCGTCTCAGGTTTTACCGGAAGTAATGCAGTCAGAAAAGGTGGGAGCTAGTCTGATAGGCTTAGCAGCTGTCTGTGGGCAATGAAGGTGAAAGGCCCCATTTATCATGAAAATCTGCTGGCTTTCATCTTTGAAAATAGCTGAAAGTTCATCCCCTTAGTCATGAGGCATTGGGCAAGAGGTGGCCATCCACCAAATTTGTTTGAGGCTTAGAGATAAATTTGGGGGTGGTGTGGCTCATGTTCTTGATGGGC